TGATTGGGAGGTGTCCTCCCCCGACCGTAGTCGCCTAACCCTTTGCATGATACTGCGGATGATTCCGCCATATTGGATCCGCAGGGTGAACCTCTGTTCAACCCTGATACTCTGCAGAACCCTAGGTCGGAGGAGTGGTACCGGACCGATCATGTGGCACGGTACATTGCGGCCAGAATCCGTAAACCCTTAGACAAGACCGCCAGACAAAAACTGCGGGCGGAGTGCCCGCGCCCGACAGTGCCCGACATGGCCTGCACCACACCAGACATAGACCCCAAAATAGCGCAGTTCCTGGGAAAATCGGGCTGGAAAGCCAAAAAGGGTCTTGATTATTCCCTGCGGCAGTGCCAGGATAAGGTGCTGGATACACTAGGCCCTAGTGCCAAGATATTTGAACTGGTTGAGGAGGCATTAAATGAAGGAACGCCCCTTGACATTCTAGCCATTAGGGGCTGGGCCAAGAGATCCATATGCCTCATCGGCAACGCAAATGCTGCTCTAGCCACTGAGCGGCGCAAGACTATTCTGATGAAAATCAAACCCAAACTGGTTAACATGGCCCTCTCCGAACCGGGACCGCAAGCCAAGGGCCTCCTGTTCGGAGACAGTTTCATTAAGGAATTGGGCACGTATGTGAGTACCTTTACGGCCCTTGACAAGGCACAGACGAACTTAAAACGAGTGTTCTCCCCCAGAGTTTTTGGCGGGGCCGGCAGACACCGGGGCCGTCTGCCCGGCCGCTCCTCCTGTGGTACCTACCGGGGATACAGAGGTCCCGCCACAGCTCGAACCCAGCCACCGGAGACTAGAGCACCCTCTCCCTTCTTTCCAGTCAGAGCCAGGCCATGGCAGCCGCGAGGACCCAGGGGCAGTTCTTACGGCCGACGTCCTTATGGTGAGTGTGCTAACTTTCCCCTCCCCGGGTATACCGACTGTGGGGGGCAGGCTGTCGCACTTTCTGGGGAACTGGCAACGCCTGACGACGGACGCATGGGTCCTCAATACTGTCACGGGGTATCACATAGAGTTTGTACAACCCCCTGTCCAGGCAGGCAGGCCACACCCAATAGTTTTTTTAACACGAGACAGAGGTTTATTGGACAAGGAGATTGCCGCCTTACAAGAAAAAGGCGCCATATATCAGACCCCGTCACCTTTTCCCGGGTTCACGAGCAACCTGTTTTTGGTACCCAAGAAATGTGGCGGAGTACGCCCAGTCATCAACCTGCGCCCACTAAACGCATTTGTACGGTACCACCATTTCAAGATGGAGGGTATCCATTGCCTTCGGGACCTACTCAGACTAGGGGATTGGATGGTCAAACTGGACCTACAGGATGCCTACCTCACTATCCCGATGGCGGAGGAGTGCCATCAGCTGCTCCAATTCCAATGGGACAGAGTGACGTGGAGATTCCGATGTCTCCCCTTTGGTCTTTCATCGGCCCCTTGGTGCTTCACAAAATTAATGAAGCCGGTGGTCGCCTTGCTCCGAAGCAGAGGTGTCCGGATGATCATCTATCTGGACGATATGCTGATCATGGCGCAAGGGATCTCCCAACTGCGGGAACACCTGACATGGGCACTGACGTTGCTCCAAAATTTCTCGTCAATTGGGAGAAATCGGTACTGACACAGTCCCAAACCATAGAGTTCTTGGGTTTCCGTATCAATGCAGTCACTGGGACACTCAGCCTACCAACGGACAAGGTCAAAAGTATAAAAAAGG